ATTTCTCTTGCCATTTAAACATTGGTTTTTGATACATCAAATAATTCTGTGTATTACAAGCGACGTTCTTAATTTCCGCATATTCAGTTTCCCTATGAATGCAGAAAATCTGAATAAGTTATACACTGGATGGTGACGAGAGGATAGAACGGTAGATTCGATTCGTCAGAAGTCCTTTAGTTTAGCAACGTCAAGTAAATCCGCAGGGCCCGTCGAGGTTTAATTTTAATTTCCACGGTCTGATTCACGAGCTGTGCAAGTAATTTTCTATGAAACGTTAACGGCGAACAGTGTGAACGAGCGGAGGCGCGTCATCGCGAAATGTCGAATTTAATACGGGGCGAACGAAACACGGCTAGGAACACGGCGTGATTACCTGGCCAGCCGCGAATCGTTAATTTTAATAATGCGTATTCCGTTGATACTACGACTGCGGAACTGGAGCAGAACACCGGAAGCTATTACGTCCCCCTGCAGCAACTGCACATGTCCCGCATAAATAATATCTCCGGAGAACCGTTTTTACTCCCCCGTTCCAGCATCGTATCGGTTCCGAGCACTTTATTAGAGGACTCGCCACCTCCGCATTTTTCCCTTGCAACGACTTTACACAGCTTCCTAAATCTATGAATATTTTCCATACACAATATTCCACGTACAGCTTGGGAAAAATCATTGCCCCGAGCTGTGCATTCATGTATTATACATAAAAGAACAAACCGAGTGTTCAATGTATTTTTTGTTAATCCTGTAAATGGTAGAGAAAACTTACTATAGTAGAATTTATTTATTTCTTTTTTTATATCGATAGAAAATAAAGAAATTCTCCTATTCATTTCCATTCTCTGGAAATTCTGTCTATATTCAGAATTGCCATTAAATCGACAGACGCAATCCAAAAAAAGACTGAATTTAAAACTAGACTTTCTCTTTATAACAACTTTCTTCCTAAATCTATGAATATTTTACCTGAAATCAAGTTACAAAGCATAAATAATGCGCGAGTAAATCATACAGGCAAGCCACGGAACGCCTCATCTCTTAATGAATAAATCAAAAGCGAGCGCAGTATAACGAAGAAAATTAATAACCGCTCACTCTAAATAAGTTCGCTGCTCGAGCTTCCATTCGCGGTAGATATTGACATTAAATTATGTACATAATAATCGAGGTGTGAGACGCGAACGGTGGCAGCGTTATCTAAAACTGCACGGGAAGTTTAACGAACCGCAAGGTGGTTCATGTGTCTGTTCTCTCTGAAGAAGCGAAAGATAAACTTCGTTTCGAACGAGCCCCATATGGTAGGCTGAAAACTTTCAGGCAACAACGAGAGAGCCTCCGAGAGTTTATCGCGGCACGGAACTCGTTAGAAGTCGATAACTACTATCCCGGTTCCACTGAAATCCCTCTCCAAGTGTTTCAATTTATACGAACATTCTTTTGTCTCAATATTTATTATCCGATTTTATTCAAATAGCAATTCCATGTCGGTAAATATTTATGAATGGTAGAGAATTAATGCGAAAGCATACATCGTACAGAAGGTAGCGAAACGAGTTCTGTAGACTTTGGGAGAAACAAAGAATGGGAAAAAGCTTATAAAATTAAAGGAAGCCTCAGAGGAAACGATCTCGAATCAGTGTCGAATCTACAGACAGACTAGCTGCTGTTTAGGTTCGACTATCTGCTCCAAGGGCTTCTATTCTAATAAAAGAACCAATTATACGTCGGTATTCATAGTCGTTGCTCATTCTTAAGATCGTCTTCAGCATTTATTATTCCTATCTATTCCATGTTTCCAGTTCCTGTCTTGTACAGCTAGTAACAACGAAATTAAGCCAGCTGCATGCTAACGTGCATGTGTTAGTTTCCCCTAGGGGGACAAAATTCAAAACGAGTAATATAAGTATACATCTTATTTTTTCGATGCTTGATCTGACATCG